AGTAAAGAGTGAACGATATATACATAAATCTTTCTATATATTAAAAAGGAATAGCAAATAAATAAATAGGTATTAATCAATGACGATTAAATAAAATAAATTCATTTGTCTTATTTTCTTACACAGTGATGTAGGAGTGTATTTTTAAAAAATCTATTGTTTATATTACATAATATATGACCGAATATCGAATTACTTGTTTAATCTACCTTTTTCTATAAAAAAATTCTTTTCTCATAACTAATGACATATGATTATATATATGGAAATAATTCCCCTCAATTTTTCAGGACTGGATAAAAAAATAAACACATGTTAACACATTATTGTTTGAGTTGGTAAATTTTCATTATTTTTATTTCCTTTTTCACTATACTGTATGATATATACATCCTGTAGCATATGGACAAAAAGAAGCTTATTGAACTATAGTTGAATCTCACATTTTCTTAGCCTAGATGTTGGTAATAGGTCTTCGATAGATATTCACTGTAAGACAGTATCAAATATTTAGCTGTTTTGTGAAAAATTATTCTGAGCTAAAATGAGATATTTTCTTGAGTACCAACTTGTATTGTAGTATTTTTTTAGTGGATTGTTAGCCATTTACATAAACTATCATCTTGTAACAGAATATTTTGTCAAGTCATTTAACAAGTGCTAATTAATGTACGCGTCTTCGAGCTTTACTTTAAGCACGAAGTTTAGTGGTACTATTTGGGTTGGGAGCAAGGAAGAATTGAAATCGTTGACCTATTGATTGAAAATTAAACTCCTTAACCAATAATCCACCGCCCAATATATAACAATTAGACTTATGTTTATTTACATTTCGTTCAAAAATAAACTTACACGAAAGAAAATATGTTTACATGGTTTCGATGAGGGCAGAAAAGCTTGCAGAAAATCAGAACAAAATGAAACAGAATTCACGAACTCCGTAACTCCACAAAGATAATTACACGCAGTAATAAAACGTATTTATTAAATAATATTTTGAAAGCCCTCCAAATCAATATACATGTTTGGATTTACTCATCATAAATCATCAATTATATGGCCTGATAAATCAGAGATCACTTCCTTATAATAAATTACTTCATTTTGAATGACTGAGAGGATGGAATATACAGCATCGGTATATTGAGAGTTTAAAGACTCAATTTGGAAATGTAGACGTTTGACATCATGACTAAAACAAGAAAGTCACCTAGTCTCACATAACATGGTCGTTTGATCACGTTTTGACACATCTGCTGTATTCTGTTTTCAAGTAACTAATCAGTCCATTAAAAAGCTATATAGATACTTGGCATCACTTCACAAAGTCACTGGGGTTTAGAATTGGCTATGTATAGGGATTAATTGGTTTCATGATTAGAGAGTATAGATAATACGATCATTTGAACTCTTTCTTCTACATCGTTGTTTGCTTTCTTAAAATGGTTTCTATAGAAAATAGCCTTGATTTCACAATTGGTTAATAAAGAAAACATTCCATGGCATGGATGGAATAGTCTACGAATCTTATGATAGCGAATCATATATATATATATATATAATCTAGTTTCCCTTGTCCCTCCAGATTGATAGCAATTCCAAAGGAAATTTACCTTTCAAATTTCCGAATTTTTTCATATGCTCCACTGTTTACTTTATTTAAAACATATCGATGGTATGATACTGTTAGTTTGCATCAAACAAGATGCCTTACATATCTATCTATACGTTGTTTTTCTTATTTACTTATACCGGATATGCTTGTCAATCAACTTACTCGTACACATTTTATACACATTAAACTAATTCCGGTTCTATAGATTTTTTCTCTTGTCGACGTACATCAAATCGTTAGTATCACGAATCTAAGGTTGTATCAATGTTATGTTTATTTTTGCAAGAACGTTTATTTCCAATTCTGAAAGCTCACTGTAGTTAACATTGAAATGTTTAATCAACTTGAATGGAAAAGAAAAACATGTTAAATTGGATAGAAAATGTAGAATTCATATTCTATAACTTCGTTATGTCAATGAACCAATTAAGTGGTTTCTATATATTTAAAATGAAATGGATTTATGTTTATTACGCTTCTTCATAACTTCCATGCTTTTCCATAATTTCTTTGTTTACCTCTCAAGGTAGCTAACTCATACACATTCTTTCCTATTGAAAATCCAATGAATCGTTCGATTAATTCTTACATACTTTGTGAATATTTGTTTGCTTATTTGTGTTTGTGTGTGTTGTATACTCCGTGTGCATTACAAATTAGTCTTTTTTTTCTTACTGGACTATTTCAACAACAAATCTCATATATCCACATACTATTCATGGGATTTGTACTTGGCTTTATCAATGTCCTCAATTTGTTTAATTCTCTTTTATTATTTATCCATTTTTCCTTTTAAATTATATCTCTCTCACCTTCCACTATATATATATATGCATGTGGATTTTATATGTACACATGCATAATCCCTCTCCATTAATCACTTCCACCCTCTGACCTTCATTTCTGACCACCCTCCCTCCCTTCTTCGTGATGATCATCATAGTGATTTGTTCATCTGCTCATTTATAAATAAAATAGAATACTTCAATATAAGTTATTATTACGACTATATTATTATTATTAGTATTATTATTATCATTATTATGGGATAATGGGGGTGGTGGTGGTTATATGGAGGATTGTTAACTTTTTAATTTATGGTTCACTCTACAAAAAAGTTTTCGTGTGTTTGTTTACTTTCACTTATTTTTAAGTTTTTTTGTTTCATTTCAATTCCCATTATGATATACTGCCATTGTTATTATTATTATTATTATTATTATTATTATTATTATTATTATTATTATTATTATTATTATGTTTAATAAAATTTTCAAATGTTTGCGTGCTGTTGTTATGTGACTCGATACAATAACAAATAAAAATAAACTACGAAATCTTTCTATTCCTAGAAAAATGTATTCAGTTTGGAAAGAAGTAAATATTTGTTTGTCTGTTAATCAAAATTAGGTGAGATCGTTTATATATAAACAAATAAAATTATTATGAGTGCCTAACTTTAAGAAAACGTGATTTCTGGTTATTTAATTCCAAAGTAATACTCATATTACTAATTATGACCTGAATGTTTGTATCCGTGTGCTTAGATTATATATATATATATCTTTGTATCTTCTCCTATAAGTGAACATTAGATTCTAAGAATCGGGAGCTAGTAATATGATTTCATAGAGTGCTTCGATATATATATATATATATATATATATATATATATATATATATATATATATATTTGTATATGTTAATTCGTCAGTTTTTATTTCACTAGGTAACAGCTAACTTTTGTTATTGATTTATCTATCCTTGTTCAGTTAAATTTGTATACTAATTACAGTCAATTATTTTTTGTCTATCTAGGGAAAAAATATCTCCCAGCTGTAAACTCTTGAATAGGCGATTGAAAATCTGCTCATTCGTTATTGTTGTTCTGACTGAAATATGATATTTTGATTATTTGTCTGTCTGTCTATCTATCAAACATAATTGTTGATGTTTATTTGTTGTTGTCATTTTTTTTCATACTAATAATGATGACATCTCGATTGTGACATAACCAACTATAACTTATCCAGACTATAGTTCGATAAAATAAAGCCTGAATGCAGACAGTAGATTAAAATTATTTTAATGAAATAAAATTCGATCACAATAATGTGGGAAAGATCATCTAATTATCTATAGTTTCATTATTATTATCATCACTTTATGCAATACTATATTCGTTTCTCCTTGACTCATATCTTCTATACGTAATCTTTTTTTAATATCACTAATACTGTTACCGCTACTATTGAAACTACTACTCTTGGATTTAACTTTTGCTGATGTGTAAAATGACAACTTGAATCGATGCATGTATGTACTAGGTTCTACATTACATATTACTAACTGACTAACTTGTTAATATTTACAAAGTACGTAGGAATAAAGTTTTACGATGGTAATTACGAGCCACTGATTTATATTGACCTGTTTTACTTTTAATGACACTGGTTTCCAACAAGTTTATATATATATATATATATATATATATATATATATACTCGATACAGAACTTGCATTGTAATTACCTTTTCTCTCTCTCTACGAAAAATAGGTGAACTTTGAAGTAATTAACTTTACGCTAGGTTGTAGTGTGTTTTCATGTAATTAGCAGTCATAATCAGTCAATCAAGTTAAATCGAAATGGAAAAATTTATTACAATTATTTTCACAGTTGTAAAGTAGGTGACCCTGAAATTCGAACAACCTACTATACCTTTATTGTGATTATGCAGTATCAGAACAACATAATAACACAGGGTTTTCTTCTACCATATTCAAGGATTTTCTTGACATTTTCTCTACCCTAACTCCCAGCGTAGGGATAATACCTATCCAGAAACTGAATTAGAATCCAATTTAAACTTTCCGAACCTTAGGTTATTACGTAAAGTTCTAGAAAGTATTTACAGTTTAACATTGTTTCGTCCATTATACAATTTATCTTTACACTGGTAATGCATAAATTTCTATGCATGTGGGTAAATACCAAGATAACAATTAATTTTCACTACAAGTTAAATTAAAACAACTGTATTCTCTTTCATAATTATGTTACTGAAGATCTAAACGGTAAAATTGATACACAAAATATAACTCCCATTAAAAGTGGTAAGTGTATATTTCACTCAACTGTGATTAATAATTTATGTTTGTACTTCAAAAACCCATCCGGTTGCCTAATCAAGAGGGTTAGATGAAGCGGAATTGAAACCCTCTGTTACTCTCTCTTTACAAGCTGAACGCTTTAACAATCAGCTCACTGTTTTGTAATAACTGAGCTGGAGTACAATTTGGTTTTTGATATCAATATAATAAATTTATGATCATCATTCTAAATACTTGAACTTATATATGAATATATCAAATTTATTTATTTCAGATATTAACAGTCACAATGCCGGTGTCAACTGTTCAGGGATGATAAGAATTTCACTAGATCCTCAACAATTTGTTGTGTATTATTTTTACTTTGAATTATTTCAGTGAAATTTAAATATTATAATCTTAAATTATAAAACAATACTCGATCTTTTGTTTTATTTTCTTGTCGTTGTCAAAATACATTACAATAAGAAAAAGGTTTTGTGTTGTACCATGTGAAATAATATAAGCTATTTACTTGTGTAGTGTCATTCATTAATTAACGCCACTAAGGAATGTTAGGTGTGTAGAGGTAGTTCGTAGGAAATTCTTGTTTTAAGTTTCATACTAGTTGACACTCGTCAGAATGGCATGCTTGGAATCTTCAGGGGACTGTTTCTCTTTGTATGATTCGAACACACGTCATTTAGTTTCACAGCCTGAGATTTTACCACTGAGTTATTCGAGGTGTGGTTGGCTTCCTGTAGGACTGAGATATTTACTTTTATTTATCATTGTGTAGTAACCAATGTCATGTTTATTTAGTCCTTTAGCTCTGGTTGACTTCTATCGATCGAATTTCAACATGACCACAAGTTTTAGGGTTTCTTTCCGAATACTTTCAAACACTCAAATTCAAAATATAACGCACTTAAACTGGTCATCACATTATAATCTGTTTAATAGAATTTGATCAACACTAAAAACTAGATAAACAAGATTTATTAATTGAACACTGAGAAGACAGAGTTGATCTGGAAAATATGACCTTGGTTACTACTCGGTGATTGATCAATGTAACTCCTAAGAAATCTCTTCCAGAACAGAATAGTTGTTTAATGCTTGCTTATATTTAGTAGTTCTACAGTTGATATTAATTCATAATAAAATTCACCTTTAAACTATATGAACTCTTTACAACACATCTGTAACAATTACCTTATTCATGTTTAAATCCACGAATTCTACAAAAATTTTCAAATCAGGTATTGTAATGAAGTCCATAATTTTTGAAATAATCAATTGATATGTTGTTTCATCTATTAAATATGATAATTTAGTTTAAGAAAATGATAAAATGTACTAATGAACTCAGTTATTCGCTCTTGATGATGAATATGACAAAAGTTATCAAAAAACCAAGCTAATAAAGAAATATATATATGAAATTATATATTTAGATTATTCAATTTAACATTAGATATGATTATAAATGTGGTTTCTCTAGGAATTGGTTCCCAGATATCTTATATTTTTATTTCTAATATCTTACGATTTCTGTTCGTCGAAAGAAATGTACAAGCTATAAAAAGGATATGGAGTCTGAATAATCTCAAAATTCACTTCGTTTAATTGAATAATATTAGTAATTCAATAATAGACTGAGTTTCATATAAAGTTGAATCATTAAATATTCGTCTGATCGTTGTACCGAGATAGGAAACTTCAAACATAAACTAATTCAAGTTGACCAATAAGACAAGTTAGATAGTTGATACTAATTTTTTTTTATTTCAAAAAATGAATATTTGAGTGAACAGTAGCTTTCAAAATGCATCATCAGGTTCTACAGTTGTAAGTCCATAATTATATTTTACAAAGGCCAAAATAACGAATGTATTAGTGAAATTGACAATGTTATATGTTACAAATGGTCAGGTAATTCGTAGTAGAAGACATTGAAAATAATAAATTGTGACTCAGTAAAAAACCCCTATGTCTGGAACTGGACTTTAAGGGGAACACAGCGGGTGATACTTTAACATGACTCAAAAGGTCTGTTGAAAGGACGTTTCACGCTGCCAAGCTACATATAATTTTCTCAACTAAACCAGTACTTACACAACAAATCAAGGATAGGTTGCCGATGATGGGCTCCTTCATGTGTGTATACCAACTCAACTCCTCCTATGAAGCTAGCTATATAGGCCGTACTCAGAGGGCTTTCTTCTTGAGTGTTTGTGAACATGTACCAGCATGGTTGGGAAAAGGAGTTGCTAAATCGACCGACAGCACTATTCTGTTTCATTTGGTAGATAATGAAAATTGTATCAAAGTGGAGGAAGCTTTCTCTGTTTTGGATCAAGTTCCAAAAAACTTATTTCAAGGAGCAAGATTACGGCTACTCTACATAACCGAAGCCATCTGGATCAATTCTAGCAAACCAAACTTACGTATCCAGCCTCTATGTTTATCTTAGCCTACGACTAGATCACCGGACACCTAAACTGAATATTATAAACCTCTTACCTCCTCACTTTTTTCGAAGTACATATGTCGTAACAGATGCAAACGTTCACCATTTTTAACATATAACAAATTCATCAATACATGCGTTATTTTGGTCTTTGTAAAATATCATAGTAATGGACTTATAACTGTAAAGCCCGATGATGCAGTTTGAAAAAAATTGTTCGCTCAAATATTCTTCATTTTTTGAATATTTCATTTCAATAAATATTAGAGTAGTAGTATACTTGATAGGTGGCTAATAGTGTAGTCAATGACTGACGCTTTGTCTCATTTAAGACTCGTCAGTTAGATGTATCTGCATTCCAGTGTCTACACTCTCACTAGGGCTCAAACATAGTACCTTTATCTTCGATACCTCACCCGCCTGAGATATCGAGTCTAGATGACTTAACTTATTCAATAAGTATAAGAGTATTACCATGGATTTGTAATCTGTAGTTGTCGATAGTTATGCGAATGATCAATTTCTATTTCCATAGGGGAATATTGCCTGAATTATAACTTCCTCCTGTTCCCAACCCTCTAAGTGTATAATTATACATGTTATGATTTTATGAGTTTAGTTCTATAGTTTATAAATGATAATTTTAATAAACTGAATGGTTTTTTGATTCATTTCTTCATTGTTTGTTTCAATCTTCCATTGATGTTTAGGATTGTAATCGATCAGTGTTTTATTGGTTTTCGAATGTCCACCTGTATGGTAAACTGTTGTACTGATCAAAAAGACAGTTATTGGACCATGGTTTTTGTTAACAATCACTCTTATAAATTCTTTGAGAAGGTATGACATAGGAATTTCGGATTTTTTACGCAGCTGATTCAGCCATTCGAACGGCACGTTAAATATCGCAACCTATCTGTATAATTTGTCACACAATACCGTTTGGGCTGCAAGCGAACGCTACAAGTAAACAAAGTATTCGCTACTTCTAGGTACATATAACGTTACGATAGGTTAGCTAACTGGCTATTAAATGGTCAAAATCCAAATTGTAAGCTGTATCTACCGTTTACTCATACGTCACAGATACAAAAAGCAATCCATATAAATGACAGTTGTTCATATGACAACTTTTTTTTCTGAAAAAGGATATCTCATAGATCATACCATTCTACAGGCGGAAAATAAAAGTTCATTAAAAATCTGGCCAACTAATGAATGGCGCTTTCCCAAATAACTTTTACTTTTGGAGTAAAGCTTAAGCTATTTCCTACAATGACTTATGCTTGATTGTCAAAAACCGATATCTATCAATCCAATGGTCTACCTAAATTTCTTATATCTAAAGTTTCATTAAGTTATTTGTCTAAGTTATAATTCTAAACCTCATCTTTACGTTCTCAGATGATTGATCTCAATAGTACTTGGACTTTCTGAGTCAAGTAGCTGAGAGAACCATATAACTAGAAGTCTAACTTACGGATTGTAAGCTCCTCGACTAAGTGATCTAATTGCGTAACACTTCCCACCAGACCCGGTCCTGAATTCAGATTCGGGAGCTAGCTGTAGGTACACACTGCTAAAGAATTTCAAACTAGTACAAAAAACTTATTCAGTACTCCCTGATTCTTATTAGTATGTGTTTAGATGTCAGTACGTTATGAGAAATAACTTCAGATCGCACAATCTTCATAAGTTATCTGATCTTCTAAAACCTATTTATTCTTTCCTTTCAACACTACATTCACTCCTTGTTAGAACCTTCTTGGGATTAATTTGTCAATGAAAACATAACGTCAAATCTAAAGATCTAAAACTTTGTTAATTATTAAGACTCATTAATCAAGTGACATTTTCATACAATCAAAATTATTACAGACAAATATCCAATATATAGTAAAATTGGCACTTGTCATAGGACATAATAAGCTGGAAGCAAAGTGAATTATTGGCTTAGTACCACCCACTAACTAATATGGTGCTCATATTGCTGTTTATCTGGTATCTAAAATAAATTCACAATACATTATATGTAAATAACTTTATACATAAGTTCTGAGAGTTCGCTGTTTATCCTTGTTTCAACCGTCGCCCCTTGACACAATACCACCTTGTATAGCAGAAATGTGACAGAATTACGTGGACATATCACTATACCGTATAGTGTGATGTATAACTTTTTCGAACATTAGGGATGTAAAATCTAAGCTGACTGCTTTTTCGGCGGAAAACAATATGCGAACAAATATCAGTCATGTACTTGTTAAAAATAATGATAGTCGAGAATTTCTGCTTGAGTTACATGTTACTTTAAGATATTCAATTTTATGATAAATATCAGCCAGAGCAAATCTAGTTATCCGGATATAAATTAAAAATTCACAAGATTAAACTAGTGCAGGATTTTTTCGAAAGTAGATTGACAATTATTTCAGTTATCAAATAATCTATAGAAAATAAGTCGTACATCATTTTTACATTTCATGTTAGTCTATTTCTCTAATGAGCGCTTTTACTCAAGGACTAACTTGTTAATATTTATCTTCTTTAAAAGAATGTAATCATACCAAGTAGAACTGATCCCTTAATGGTTGTATGACGTTTTCGTGACAAAAACAACTGCTCCAGAAAACAATTAGACTTTAATTATGCCTCGAACTACACAGGATTACGGTGAGCAATATCATATTTTATACGCAGATGCTAGAGATGAAAATTTGGCCGCTTGAAACAAATTACTCCAGTATCATAAAGTTGGAAGCATCTAACATGCTAATTAATAAATCACGTTCTTAAAACTACCAAATCGTAGTTTAATTACTGTGATGATTTGACTGGAAATCAGATGAAATAAACTAGACTAT